TGAAAGTTTAACGGTATTTTAGTTATTTTATTTTCAGAAATATTTTTTGTATATTTTTGCGACTTTAAGAAAATAGTGGACGCTCCAAACTCGGTATCAAAATGTTTTTTTAATCAAACAATGTATAAGCGTGACATTGGAACTGAGGTTATCTCAAACGTCCATTCAAATCGTGATTTGAAGATGAGGGGCGTAAAAAAAATAAAGAATAAAGCACCGGAGGGCTTTCCTAAGCCATTATAACGAATTAGTGGAATAAAGTAATTTTTATGTGAATTGGTGGAATAATGTACCCACTAAGTGACGCATGTGCCTTGTTTTATTACTAACTCAAAATTACAAATGCGGTGGGCATTAAATGGCTGGTCTCAAAATTATTATGCACCAAATGGGATCTACCCACATAGGATTGGATAAGCATGCTTACGTTTCATGAGACATAAATGATATCACATCGTGTTATTAAATTTCATGAGATATAAATGATGTCACCCCTTTGGTATAGATAATCATATTTTTATGCTTCAAAACATATTATATTGTTGATGTGATTAAAACAATGTATGATTTTAAGTAAGGGTGCGGTTTGTATAGAGCCTAGGCTCTAAACAATCACATTAGAGCCCACCTCAAATAGTATCGAAAATATGGTTTCAATACCGGAAATCTTTTTGATAGCTTTAAAATATATTTTCATCTTTATTTATAAAGTTTAAAGTTTCAAAAATAATGTAGATCAAGAGATCTATGAAAACTTGAAAATCTTAAAATTTGACGGTCCAAAAGTGTGTTACAAAATACACTATTTCCAAAACTTGACATCCATTTTTTTATCATGTCCATGCATCTTGATATCCAGATGATGAATTTGAGGATATTTGGGCATCAAAACAATAACTTCTAGTGAAATTTTTTAGGTAGGCTCGAATTGATTGTTTAGAGCCTCGGCTCTATATAAACTTTTCCCTTTAAGTAAATGTGGACCGCATTACGTACTTTATCAAATATGTGCTAATTATCTTTTCTCTATCAGCAAGAGCATAAAGTTAGAATGACTAGATAAAAAGATATTTTATGTACACTTTTATGTACACTTCATTCATTAAAAAAAAAGAAGGAGAAAGTTTATATAAGGGTGAGGTCCTAAACAATCAAATTGAAGCGCACATCAAAATTTTACTAGAAAATGTTGTTTCGATGTTGAAAATCTTTCAATCGATCATCTCGACCTCAAGTCGTATAGACATTAGTACAAATTGATTTCAAATCTTGAAAATAGTACATCTTTTCAGGTATTATCTAGACTATCAATTGTTTAGATTATCAAGTGTTCATAGCTCTACTCGATCTATATTATTTTTTTAATATTAAATTTTATAATTAGGGATGAAAATAAATTTTGAAACCATCACAAAGATGTTTGATACTGAAACAACATACTTCGGCACTATTTGAATGTGCGCCTTACTTTGATTGTATACAAACCACACCCTTAAAAAAAGAAAAAAAGAAGTGGTACCCTCTTGTTTTGTTCATCTGGTTTCTTATGAGCGCCCACTTATTTATTGAGTTTGAATATTAAGCATTGTTGGTCGATAAGGAGATGCGGTTCAAGGGAATAATGGTCCATGTTTACTTGCACAAAATACGAATTGCTTAAGAGATGAGCATGACATTAATTGGCCTATAATTCATGAAAATTCCTCTTGGTGGGTTCATGAAACTTCCTCTTAGTGGGAACATTACTTTCTTGGAAGATGAACACCCCAAAGTTCCAACTAGAGATGGGATTCAAAGACTTACTACGGATCGGCCATATAAATCGACCATCCACGATACCAATCTAGATTAGTAGAATTGGGCGATCAGGATTGGACAATCTGCAATCCGCTTAAATTTTGTTTGAAAAAACTTAAAAAAAATAATAGAATAAAAATCAAGGACAACAAAAAAGAATGGCATTGATGATTTTCCCCAGCTATAATGTGAGGGGAACAAAAAAGAATGGCATTGAATAATAGGGCTATTTCTCGACTTCAAGAGGAATCAGTCAAGTATTGAACCTAGTTTGAATAGGCAATTCCCAATCTAGATTAGTGATTTTTCATTGTGTTGCAGTCGTAGACTTTTATGACTAAAAGAAATTGTGAATTGTTTCATAATAGTACTTGTGAATTCTCCTCATGGTTGGAGAAGGTAGCCCCCAAAGATGAGGCTTTATATTGTGATATTACACTAAGAATGATCCGTACAATATCGTCGGAAAGGACAATAATAGAAGACATGGGCATTACTATACTAGTGAACTTCGAAGAACAGCCGGTCTAGTGAATATCATCAACGCTATCCAACTTGAAGTTAGATGGTTAACATACATTGTCATACCTAGTGCACGACCTGATCAAAGATAAATGTGTAAAGAGATTGTATACTATGATACTATTTATCTTTGTTACAAGGAGGTAACAATTATTATCGGCAATTAAATGTTAAATTGCATGGTTTGGATTGCGTCAAAAATTTTAAGAATTTTTTTTTTGAAATTTGAGTCTAGTCAATGACCTAGTAACAATCACCCAATTTAAAGTCTGATGGATTAATTATAACCTCTTTACATTAAAAGTAAACAATCGCTTTATATGTATTTTAATTTTCGTTTTTATCCAAGGTGAAAACCTTTACTAGAGGAAATATTAATATTTATAATGAACCTGAATTTGAGCCTCGAAAGAATCTTCAGCCGAACGATGGTGTAGGTCCCAGGGCGCATAATGACCCTCATGGATCACAGCTCACATATTAATGTCACATGAACCTAAGACCAATGTTTCACAAGCGGGACATTTGGCTCGAATAATGCGAAATCCAATCCGAAAAATCAATTCTTTTCATCAAAATTTCGGGCACGAATCTGGTAAAAACTCACGAGAGTTTCTCTTTATGTCTCTTCAAATCTTTTACCCAATTCATTAGAGAAAGTAGAATGTGCCCTAGGGACCAAAGGGACGAATTTGGGTTAGCAAGAAATGGGACATAAATCCTAGTTACTTTCCAACAATGAAAGAGGCGCAAGTATGGTAAGGTAACATGTCATTTCTTGTGAAGGCCTGGGGTCCACCAGTTATGTAACCCAAAAGCAATGTCCACAAATGTCAATACCAACAACACTACTGGACTTTTAGGTACCTGCCTCGCAAACTCCAGATAACAACTTCAAACCAAACCAAACCAAGCCAAGCCAAGCCAAGCCAAACCGAACCCAAACTGGCTGGCAAAGGGCCAGGTAGCCCGGCCCTGGCCCCGTTAGTCATTCCTTTTAAAAAAGTAGGGCATGGGTCACAAACTGTGGCTCGAATGCTGGGCTAGGGCTAGGGCCAGTGCCGACCATCTTTTTTTCTTGTCTTTTTCTTTTATTTTTTCTTCATTTGTTTTGGCTTCCGCCAGGCTGGCCCGTTCATATGGTTACTGCCAAACCCGGCCCATTACAAACTCAACCGGTAGTGTCATTACTTGGCCTATACAAATAAAAGTGGAAAGAAATCAAAAGGAATTATCATGGCCGGCAGGCAAATCAAAGAGGAAAGCATCCTCATGTGGTGCTAGTATGATGTCCTTTTCATCATCTGAATCCTACC